GCGGAGTCTCTGATGTGAATGGCGGACTTGTAAACTGCGTCTGAGAAAGTGGGCGAGAGGAAGACTGGGTGTAGAAGTCCTCATGCGATGCCATTGAACCCGAAATGGTAAAAATCACAATGCCAGAAGTTGGGGGATTCTGTGTAGATTGAGGGCAGACGTCGACCTTAGGGTGCCCATATGCTTAACTAGATCAACCCACTTTAACTACAACTAACTAACATATTTGCTATTCAGTCTTTCATACGAGTACCGCACCTATTGCTATTTCTGTCTCTCCCAAAATGCCGAAATACCTTTACTATGCACCCCTATCGTGGTGTCCGTCAACGCCATTCAATGACACGGCCTCCAAGCACACTACTCCATAGCCTGGCGATAAAACTCCTGCCTTTCGCAACCAGAGGTACCTACCTAACCTCCTTGGTAGGTGTAAGGATCAAAATCCTCCATATCCTCATCTGTCTTGGTCATAACAAATGCGCGCTTGACGAATGTATGCCATAATGCGTCCCTGTCCCTGTCCTTTCCGCCCTTCTTGCCTTTCTTTTTGTGATGCTTCTTCTTCCTCTTCCTGGTCGAGAGGAGATCGTCGTCGTCGTTGTCCGTTTCATCCCCAATCTCTGCTCCTGCTTCTCTACCTCGAGCGTCAACCACTCTGCCATCTGGTAATATATCTAAAACGCGATGTTCCGGTGTATCCGTTCTAATATTCCAAGATATCCTCCGGGCAAGATCCAAATAACTCCTCACTGTCAGGTCGGCCAAACGATACCGCTTATCAGTCTTCGTGTTATATTCCGTCTCGAATGTGAATTTCTGGGGATGTGGAACACGGTTCCCACTTCGTTTGTTAGCCGAGGGAGAAGTACCGATGTATTCTTCCAGGGTCCGCCCTGAGGTCTTGAAGTCGTCATTAAGGAATGTGAGATTAGCGAAGTATTGGGTGTAGGATATTAGGGTGAAGGGTTGAGGGGAGTAGGCTGGGCCGGGTGCGGCGGTGGACGAGGGTGGTTCGGGCATTTCGAAGGGCGGTTTGGGGTGATGTTTCTTTTTCTTGTTTTCCTTTTTGTGTTTGGCTTCCTGGATTGGCTGCTCCATGACGTCGTGTACGCTGGCGGCTGACAATGGTGCAAACTCTTGATTGTTCGGAAGCTCGACATCAATCTCCACTGCTGCAGGCTGTGACCTTCCCATCGCAGGATGTTCATTCTCCATGCCAGTGATGTTGTATTCAACGACTCTCAGTGTTGGAAAATAGTTTGGGACGACACTTGGGGATACAAGGGATAGGCTGAATCTCTCAGCCCATTTCCCTCCAATATCCTTTAAGAATTTCTTCTCCTTGTCTTGCTGTGACTTCTTGCGTCTGGTGTCCTTCAAGACATGCTCGTCATCCGTTTCTATAGCAAGCTCCGAACATGACATACCCGAAGGAGGCGTCGGTATGCTTGTCCATCCCTCCCTTAGATCAGTCAAATATTCTGCCTTTGACTGGATCGACAACATGGGGTCCGTTGCATTGCGCTCCCTGGCCTCCAAATCTTGCAACTGGCCTCGGCGGTTATACTTCAGTCCGAAAGCATCCTGAAACATGAAATGATCGATGTTCATGTGTCCGAATATTCCACTCACAACCACATCTCTGTACTGCCGCATCCACAACGAGTATTTCTGCCAGCAGGTCTCATCCCAGCTCTGCTTGCTGAATGTTCTTGCCGGAGGCACATGGCCTGTCATGATGGCCTTCATACCTCTTTCCCTCAAGAATTGCAGCTGCACTCTCAGCCACTCCATGTGTTCATAGCCAGGTTCTGACTTGCTGTCACATCCATCAACCGCTGTATTCGAGTCAAAGAAGTACATCGTATTGAGACTGAAGATCGCTAACTTGCCGGGGATGACTTCGGTGAAGAACCAACCACCTCTGGCGAACGAATGTCTTTGAGCCTCTGGTATGAACTTGCGCCATATGTCAGCATAGTCTCGCGTCCATCGGTTCGGGCCGGGCTCGAAAATGTTGTGCGGTAGGATGTCATTGTTTCCGAATGTCGGCACAATCGGGACCACGAAATCATTTGTGGGGTCAGGGTCATCGAGGTTGTCGTCTTTGCCAAATACTTCGACAAACTTATGGACGACCATCCGATTGAGGTCCACTATCTCCTTTTCCGTTCGTGGAATGTCCTCATCATTGTCATGCCGCGCGGAATCACCTGTCCAGATAACGAAGTCGATTTCGTCTTTCAGATTATCCTTTACCCATTGAAACGTTGCATTGACAAGGGTGATTGGTGAGTCGCAATCACTCATCTCAGCACCCAGGATGCCGGCGGTTCCTGTATCGCTATGGCAAGCGGAGTCAATGGAGGAGTAGGCTTTGTAGAAGAAATCGGGATGGACATCTGCAGCTTTGTTAGCGCACCACACGCAAAACACAGTGTCTTCATGTTTCGGTCACAAGTCATACCTGTGATATGCAGGAATTTGCCCTGTAGTTTGCGCAAGGCAGGCCGGTCTCGGTGTCGTTGTGGTGTCAAGGGTTGTTGTAGTGAGGACACAGGCAAGGGTATCTGCTCAGTCGGAAATGACCATGCACATCCGGCCAACAGCGGTAACGCCTGTAGAATGAACATGATGGTGGGAAGCGGCAGTACGCCGCACCTCGCAGAATGGCCTCGACAGCAGTGTCAAGTCTCAAATAAGTAAATGGTGCCAAAACATCGACCTTTCGGGAGTGATGTGCGACGTCATACAGGGGATGGATTCCCTGCGCTTAACTAAGTGCCCCCCGCAAAACGAGAGAGACACATCAGGAAGACAATGAGATAAACACCGGAGACGGTTCTGACTGACATCTGGCAGACAAATACAGAGCTGCGTACTTATGCAGCTGCTTGTTCCCGAGGGAGAGGTCCTCTCATGAAGGTCCCCAGCCCGAGAGCCAATATTCATGCGGCTAGAGCCCACACGTGCGAGCAAAAGACGATGCCAAACTGCATCTCCAGATTAACAGCCGCATACTACTACTCATCTGATCGGAAAGCTTGAAAATATGAGTCCCGGATTAGCTGTGCTCGTGAACTCAGAACAAAGTACAGCGCAGCTCTAAGTAGGGGTGGTCTTCTTGAAGGGGAAAGGTGAGTCTGATCCCTTTCCCGTTAAACTTCATGTCTGCCGACTTGTACCTTACATAGTACTACGTATATCCACCATTCTGTCGGAAATTTGACATTTTTTTAAAATTAGCCAACAGAGCGGGCGTCAAGAAATCCTTAACTTCAGCTGAGCCAATCAAAAGCCATGCACAGAACCTTCTTATGATATGTGCTAAGTCCAATTACAAAGTAACGACACCAAACAAACAAGATTTGCTATATCTCTGCTGCGGGGAGGGTAAATAACAAGCCCAGCACTGCGAATTGTGAGATGTGACACTTGCTACGCTCTGGGGGTGAAACCTAAGGTTAAGGTTGCTGGCGCTAATCAAGGCTTGCCGGCGTTAGTAGCTGGCACTGACCAATTAAAAAATGTCAAATTTTACGACAGAACTCGAGGGCGAGTAATTGTAGACTTGCAATGGCCCCCATACCAATACAAAATCTCTCCTCAAGGAGTGAGTTCACACCCTACCCTGCTTTCTCGAACCAAGAGCCCTGGTGATTCCTTTGAATTTTGTGAAGCGGTGAATGCTGGTTCTGAGCTGTGAAATGACGCGGCTTCTGGGAAGCAATGGTCAATAGATTTGCTGTTGTCAACCGGGCCCAGGGAATGCATATGATTATTGCACAACCAGACTCATGTGCGGTTGACAAGGATAGACCGTCTGCCCCAGCTTCGTTGATTGTGGGAGTTCTTCCCCAGACCGAAAATGGAAGACCAGGTCTCAGCACTGGTAACCAAAATACTTTACTCACTCGGCACATTCCACTGGCCTAAGGTATTGTCAGACATACCGTAGTAAGCTATTGATCGGTCCTCCGAGGCCACGGTCTTTGGTCTAAACAGGTATCATAGTCCTTTTCTCTGCAATGAGGAATAAACTCACTTGCCCCAAAGAGCAAGCAGTGCATGAGCAGGACATCCTAAGACCCCTAGGACGAGTGCTTGGTGGCTCGTCGTAGTATGCCAGCTGTTTCGGGGATACGGAATATTCTTTCCGCCACTACTCCGTATTCAAGACACATCTCTAGGAAGACCAGCTGCAAGTCAGCCATCCATCCAAATGTCAAGGTAGAGGAGCACAACGCCAGGTTAGACTGCATCTCCTTGGCATTGGGCTGAGCTGGACAGAGGCATGAAAATGTGGCAGACGGCGGAGAGCTCACCGCTACTTGGACCATTGGATGACGGTGATCTCCATCAAGCCGCCCCAGCGTTAGGCTATTTAGGATGAATTAGACTGCATGCCCATTTTGACATCTGGCCGACTGGATTTCAGGCGCTTTTGAATGTTGGACACAAAGATGTGTTGGCACGGACAAACAAGAGACGGTTCAGGTCGCTCAACCACACTTCTTAGCTATCGTGAGATGCATAACTCGATGAACGCAGATTGTGATGCAGGCGTGCCGTTGGCTTGCTGTAAATAGTGGACGGTCATCCGATTGGATAAGTGCAGAGGATGTCGTGCCTTAAGCTGATGCAGCAACTCGTGCAGGTCGTCGAGAAACAGAGGTGGTTGGGGGGTAGTAATAAAACTGGAGTATGGGACTGGGTGCTGTCTGTGTCTCGCCCTTCATGCGCCACAGTGAGCCACCCTTGCTTGGATCCTTGGTTCATTTCGTTTGTCAGGAACCCTATCTTTAACTAACTTCCGAACCCAGATTCCTCCCACGTCCTCCCACTTTGCTCACGTCGCTTCGGCTGAACAAGAAGCGCGCCTGGTTCGGCATATTACGCTTCTATAGTATGCACCACTTCATCTGGCTCTGCGACGTGATTTGGGAGATTCGCTTTCACACCAGATTTGGGCCATTGCCTTACGGTGACGCCACCGACAGCTTCACTGCCACGCTGGCAAGCGTGATGATGCTTTTCTCTCAAACCATTTTTTTGCTACCTGACAATGACGAACTAACTTAGCTGTTTCAACCATTCCCGCCTATTGTCAGAGCTCTCAATCACTTCGAAGCTTTTTGATCGTGCCACGCCATGCCAGTCCGAGTCCCACCAAGCAGGGATGGCCATCGCTTGGTGGCAGATTTAGCAGCTTGGGAGTGACACGTTATCGACCTTATGCACTACCTGCGTCCAAGCTGCATTTCCCTCCTGGACAGCTCATGAAGCTGCAGTTGTCCTTTCTCCATTCGCATTAGATCTTCCTTGCAATGCATGTTCTCGGAGCACATAGAAAAGTGTAAAAATTTCCTCGTGTGTCTTGCATTTTGCATTCTTTTGTCACTTTCATTGCGCCTGCGCTGCTTACAGATTCAACGCCCCGAGAGACATTGAAATTGCAATGTGATCCAATGTCATCTTCCTTGGCTCATTCTATTGACTTTCCATTGTTGTCCCTATCACGGACGGACCAATTGGCCACGAGTGGGTAACACCAAGCTCGAGTGTCGTTGCTCAAGATCTCGCCTGGGCGATCAACATAGACCCAAAGTCCCGCTGTTGCGCAAACGGACTGGAAAGCAGGATGCCTCGCAATCTCTCCATAAGGACAACAACTGCCTCGTTTCCTAAACGCTCACCCCCTCGTGGCATTTGTCTGTTGGGCAAAGGAGTTTGGTGGCCTTAAGAAAATAACTCGGTCGGTTGGTGGTTCTCGTCTTGTTTTCTGTTGCGTTCCTGTAAGGCAACTGGTTTCGAGTCACTTTATGCAAAGGTACTTGTTGATCGGCTGCTGTCTCTGTCTACGAGAGGCTAGCAGGGCTGACGATTTAGTGAAGATACCGTGGCAATCACGTCCCATTGTACTATTATAATATCAGCCGATCACGAAGAATATATTCTCAATCTGTACGATATATGCTGCACCATATTTCCCTGCCTCGAACATCCACGGGCATTCCAATAATTTTTCAAGAATACAGCCTGCCTACACCAAGTCGAAACCTCCAGATCACCCCGCGGGTTGACTCGTCCACCGATCTTCTCAACGCTCCTGCCGGGCTGATTCACAAGTTGTCTTGCAAGGTCCATTTGAAACACCGACAACGCCCATTGCGCACCTTTACCGCCACTGTCCCTTTACAACCAGCTGATAGTTGAGGAGAGGGAAGAAAGTGCAACTCTAACGCGCAGTAAGACTCCAGCAGTCTTCAAGGCGTATCGGCGTCAATCTTGTCCTAAGAGCGGGCCAGCAGACGAGCGCGCTTAAAACCCATGTAAGCGCGCTTCACCAAGTTTCATATGTGTGGATCACGTTTCAAACCTTCCGATGGCATGCCGGATAAAATTTCTTCTATTGTTATCGCTCCTTGTAGTACGCTTATATCAATGGCGATTGTCATCCACCCGATCATTTTCTCCTTTTGTCATGTCCTGGTCAATTTCATCATGGCCCGCCAATCACGTCTCGCGTCTGCCCATGAGAAAAAGATGACCACAGAACTAACTACCTTGTCTCGGCAGTGGCCCGCTTCGGATGAGCCGCCTGAATTTGCTCTCTGGATGGCATCGTCAGAAGTTGACCAAAAATTTCTGGGCCACTTTGCCAAGCACACCAGCCTCGAGAATCCCTACCTATCGTCTATGCTCTACAAAGTGCTTGGACTATCCGTCATCTTATCCAAAAAACTTCTTCGAGCTCGAAAACAACGTCGGCTAGACCCTACCAGAGACACACGTTTAGTCCAGCAGCTCTATCATCACATACTATGGCTGTCGAGAGAGGGACTCGTGATGACCGAACAGTACATCCTGCCAATGGTCGGTCACTATGTTGAGCTGAAGGTCCTGTCGTACAAGTTGCGGGCATCCTTCTACCACATCTTCGTCCTATTTCACAACAAGCCTTCCATCAACCAAGCTTCCGGACCATTTCCGCTGTTTCCCGAACCACTTTCACCAAGAGTCTCAAGCGGCAAATCGAAGGTGACCAACCGCGACTCCATCACCCGTTCTCCGCCTCGTCGACGCTCTCCAACAAACATAGGCGCACCTGTGGGAGGCGGCCCACCCGGTCTTCCTCCCCCACCTCCCACGGCATCAAACTCTGGCGACTTCATTCTTCCATCGGCTGACTACACTCTTATTGCAACCTCTGCCTTCATTACCGCCTCTGACCTCGCCGAAAGCCTGCTCCCAGGTAGCCATCCCGTCCGACTTTCGGTCAAGCTTGAATATGTAGCATATCTGTACGATTGCCTGCACGAGAAGGAGCAATCGCGTCGTCTAGCCAAACGAACCATCGCAGATGTCTACAACGCCCAAGAAGGTATGGACGACGAGAGCTTTGAAGATGCGGCGGAGATGGTGGGGTTACTGGGGAAGATGATGAAGCGCGGATTGGGTGCAGGAGGCAGCGGCAGTGGGAGTACTCGTGGTGGTCTTGCAGGAGGGAGCGGGAGCCAAGGAAGCAGAAGTACTCCGAGGGTTGGTGAGCAACATGATATGGTAACGCCAATGCTGAAACAAGAATTGGGGGTCACGCCGCCGAGGGGTTCGGATGGAATGCTAATGGCAGTACCGAGTCCTGGAATGACGAATCCGATATGAAAGACTATCGGATTTGCAACGAGCGAGCAACAAGGCGCCTGACATGGAAGATGGATGGGGTCTTGATCCGCGGGTGCACGCTTGAATCATTCTGACCTTTTCGAGGACCAAGAGCGAAACGAGGCGTTCTGTAGTGTGATAATTCACCATCATCAGAACCCACACAAACCAACCTTCGCGGGCTCCTCTCGCACCAGGAGCGAACTCAGCAACTCGGGCCACCATTGGGGGACTAAGCAGGCCACAGCATGCAGCATCTTAGCCGGCGTTAGTCCTTGTTTTGACGGAAGCATAACGTAACATAGCATAGCGTAGGCGCAGGAGGCGTTCAGAGACCTCATCAGTGGATGATGGTTGTCTGCTTCTCGAGTCGTTCATGTGATGGACTTCGTAATACGAGGACAAACTCTTTCAATCAAGGCAGTGTGCGTGCCAGTCGATCTTTCGTTCGCAACTATTGCAGTCAAGCCACCATGTGTCTTCATTCGAATAAGTCGTGCGTCTATGAATATGCCACCGGCCCATTCATTCTCATCATTTCATGCCAATCATACGCCGTAACCTGTTCCATTCCGCATTCCGTATCCTGTGCCTCGCCACCATAAGCTCATGATCGTAGCACTACAACTTCGCGCCCCCCCTCGGCCTCTCCATGATCTTCTCCGTGTGACGCTGATAATTCCTAACCAACTGCCTCACCGCCAGGTCGAGCAAGACGTCCTCACTCCCACCCGGAATCCTCATCCCCATGACCTCGCGATAGATCCTCTCGGCAATCTCCCCTTGACCCGTGGTCGTAAATCCATTCCCACCAAACAGCAGGACCGCGCATTGCGCACACTCGTTCAGGACCAAGCCCGCTTTCGCTTTCGCCAGTGCCGTCAGACCGCCGAGCCTGGTGTCTGCTTCCTTGGGCGGGAGATGGACCATCTGGTAGAGGAACTGCTCGACCCAGGCACTCATGCTTTCGAGTTCTGCGCCCGCTTTGGCGAGGCGGTGACGCACGACTGGTTGCTCAATGAGGGATTTCCCGAAAGCTTCGCGTGTCAGGCAGTACTCGAATGCGGCGCTCAATGCTATGCGGGCTTGGCGGGTGGCGCCGACGGCCATGGTGAGGCGTTCGTGGTTGAAATTCATCATTATGTATTTCATGCCGAGACCTTCGGTGCCGATTAGGTTTGAGACTGGGACATGAACATCGTCGAGATTGATGAAGGTGGTGCCGGCGGTGATTTGGCCGGAGGGCTTCAGGCGGCGCATTGTTACGCCCGGGTGGTTTTTAAGCGGGACCACGAGGAGGGAAAGGCCTGCGGGACCGGAATCGGGGGACCCTGTGCGGACTGCCATGCAGGCGTAGTCGGACCAGATGCCGTTTGTGATCCATTTTTTGGTGCCGCTGACGATGTAGGATTGGCCGTCGGATGATTTGGTAGCGGTGGTGGAGATGTTGGCTACGTCACTGCCGGCGGTGGGTTCGGTGATGGCGATGCAGGCTCTCTTTTTGCCGGTGAGAAGGTCTGGGAGGAATCGTGATTGTAGCTCTGGACTGCCGAACTTGATCAGAGGGGGGACGCCAAAAGCCATTCCGACTGTGAGGGAGCCGGAGGGGCCGGCAAGGCCAGAGCGCGCCATCTCGTCAATGTAGATGCCTGTGTGAAGGTAATCCCATTCTTCTACTTTGACAGCGCCGAGTATGTCATGTATCCCGAGCTTCTTTAGCCACTGGACCGGCAGTGGAGCGGGTAAGTTTGGGATTAGCATATTGTGCTTAGCGAATGTCTGAAAGACATGAGCCGGAACGGTTTCTTCACGTTCCCAGTCCATCGCGTATGGAAGAAAATGTTCTTCGAGAAAAGCACGGCATGCTTTCTGCCATTTCAAGTGGGACGGAGTGTAGTAAGGAGAAGGGAGACCGCAGAGGTAGGGAGGTTCTGAGAAAGGAATGGGGGTTTGAGCAGACATTATGAGGCCACAATATAGCTGCCACTATTCAGGTAACGACGCGCTGTGGGAAAGTAAGGTCTTTGCGTTGTAGAGTAGGCGATTCAAGTATCGTTCAGTGTGAGAAAGCAGCAAAGGGTGGGTGAGAGGCCTTGGTGTGGCTTTCGATCTCACTCATGAAGGCATTGAGGGAAGAACACTGACACTACTACCTAACGGCCCAACGCTGGAAGTTATGTGAAGGAGGGGCGCCGCCTGAGGGTATTGATGTTGATTTTAATGGTGATGTTGCGCGGCAGGCTGAAAGAGAGTGAGAAGAGTTTCCAGGTCTGCCTCGGCTCCAAGAACTGACAGCTTGGGGTGCTGAGTGTCACCATTGCTACTGTACGTATTAACTACATGGATTATCTTTCTGAACTCTGTGGCAGACTTCATCTTTCGGCAGAATGGACGCCCACCGGTGAAAGCCGCCATCATCCAGCGTTGAGAGCCGGTGATGAACAAAAACCGGGATGTGTTGGGAGCGGTGCATTCGCGGCGGTATATTCGGCGAGCGGTGCATTCGGCGTTTGGGTCTTGGCGGGTTTTACGTCATACAAATTACTAGTAGATTTGCCCATCATGACCATTTGAATAACATGAAGATTTCGCACAGAAATGTACACTATTTTTATTAATACTGCTATGACTTCCCTATAAGGAAATGGATATACAAAACGTGGTGTTGCAGAAATAGCTCTATCGCTCTGCCTCTCTGCCTGCTCTGCCCCTGCCCCTGCCCTTGCCCTGCCCTGTACCCCGTTTTGGCGCCTTTTCGGCCTCTAATGCCTTCATTGTGGGCGCTCTCTTGCGGCCAGCTCTCGATTGCGTCATCACTGCTGGCGCCGTTGAGAGAGGGGGTATAAATGCCTCATCTAGAGCTTCTTCTTCCTCTTCTTCTTTTTCTTCATCGTCAGGAGTTGGGAAGGACCGATCAACCGTTGTGGTGGTGGTGGCGATGGTGACGGCGCCGGCGGCAGATCCACGAGGAGGGGTATCAAGGACGCTCTCCACGTTAACAGGAGCTGTAGACGGAGGAGGAGGAGAGGAGAATAAGCAGGAGCAGGAGGCCCTGCGAGGGGTATTAGCCCTGTTATTAATGAAGCTTCAAGGACTATATTAGCCTTCTAGTGTGCCTCCTGAGCAGCAGCCTGCTCTCTATTGTTGGCGTCACGCTCTGCTGCCTCAGCTCCTGTCATAAGTCGCTTATTAACCCTATCATGACTCTTGAATTGCCTATTCCATCCTGACCTCTTAACAGCATCAGGCATTCAAGTATTAAGGTCATCTTCTTAAGCTCATCAGCAAAATCAATAAGGCCTTTCTGTGCGTTTGTAGCTGCTCGATCATAACGCGTACGAGCGTAGCCAGTAAGAGCCTCCCTAGCCTCAAGGATTTGCAGACCAAGCCCTGTAATCTGATTCCTATTAGGAGAGATATAAGGGTGCTGCGAATAGGAAGCAGAATTTCGTAGAGGAAATGTTAGTAAGGCAAAAGTATGATATGTTGGTGTCTATTTGGCGATACGAATAGGCTCACTATTAATCTACTAATAAGGGTGTACTAAGGGGATCGAGGGATAGGAGCCCCATCTTCGAATAGCTGCGTAAGATAATGCTTACAAGGGAGGCCAAAACGAACAAGTAACTTATATTCAAAGCAAAAGGGTGTAGGGCATAGAGAGCTGTTATTTATCTCCTCTTTTGTAGTCTCTTATTCAGGGGATATCTTCGAAATAGCGAAAAACGATATAGTATCTGCTAGAAGAACAAATGCTTTTAAATCGAGCGTACAGGGTAATCTATCTCTATTTTGAGAGCCTCCTTCTCAGATAGCTGCTTCAATTTCGACTATATCGTCTTACTAAGTCAACAACTAGCCTCCTCTATACTTAGTTGCTTATTAAGGATATCTGTAGTACTTGGATAAAGACTCTCAGAACGTTGATTTGAATAAGCGCCTAAATTCGGATACTTACGTGTATAGATTTGTAGAAATTACGTCTCTTTAGGGCCCTAGAAATCGCGCAGATACTTGATTTCGTCTAGTCTTAATTTTGAGTAGATTTCAGCTTTATTAGCCTCTAAATTAGCATAAGTATTGCTTTTGATAAAGGTCTATAATAGCGACTTTATCTCCTTCTGAATCTCCTTAGGATAACCCTTATCAGCGAGCCTTTTTTTGATATTCTTAATTATGTGCTAGTCGCAGAACTAGAGAATCGTATTTGGAAGAGATATTGATATTAATGCTCTTATTCTAGCAGCTTAGTCACTAATAATAACGCGTGGTATAAGTATCAGAGGCGCAAAAACGTACTTTTTGAGGCTATCAAAGATGAAGTTGAAGGAGAGCTGCGATTCTGAGCAAGCGAATAATAATGAGCTTACGAACGTTGAGTTATAGTTGGTTATACTAGTAGTAATAATAAGTACAAGATTTAGAGCGTTCGTTTAAAAGGTACCATCAACAAATAAAGTCTAATCTGCTATAAAGTGTTGAGCATACTAAATTTGCTTAGGATAAGTAAACCAGACTTGCTGTAACTGCCTATTGACAACAGTATCAGTTTGAGAATTGATCTCCTCCTAGATTCGGCATTCGAAGATGAATCCAGCCTCC